AAAAGCTATCCATCTTAACTTGAAATTATTCAGAATTTAGATAGGAAGAAATATTTAGTGGTGGTGATCCTGCCGACAAAAGAATTATTCGTGGATTGTGTTTCGATTTATCAATTTAAACTAGCTACCTCAAATGATTTAATATAACTAATATAATTGGTACTTTTTACCATACTGTTAAAAAAATATTATTAATCGTAATCCAAAATGGCACCATTCACGTACTACTCTATATTGTAATATTATACCATTCAGGACCCGTTTGATTCTCATTATTGTAGAATGAGAATGAAAAATATAGCCGTTATTTGGTTCCACAGAAGAGATAGAAATTCAAAATTGATGGCTTGATGTGATGGATAACGGTCATATTTTTCATTTTTAAGAATGAAAAATGAGAAACAAACGAGGGCTCAATATGATGTTAGTGTCTAAAAAAACCAAACGAATGATTCTATCGAAACGTGCAAAATAATCTAAAAACTCAAAATCAAACTTGTATCCTCAAAAGAAAGAAAAAAATCGATGGTGGGAGATGTGGAAAAGTTTGAAAAATAGAGTCATATACCATAATGTAGATTATTTTACACGTTTCGATAGAATATATAGACACGCACCTGGCCACCATCACTATGTAAAGCACAAATTGAATATTTCTTTCGGAGAAAAAAAAAAAAATCCAACACCTTATGATCTTTATGTGTCATTGACAGCTACGTAGTAAACTCAAACAGTGCAATTAAACTTTCTTAACAAACAAATCTCAAACATGATGGCCCCGATTATTTCATGTTATAACGAGAGGGATAATAATTTTTTAAATAATGTGTGGTAGTTTATGTGTTATATTATTTTACTTGTCACACGTGCCAATATATAATGCAAAAATACGGTAGAAATATAAATTATTTTTTTATCTCAATTTAATCACTATTCAAGTTCTAGAAATACTAACATGTACGACAAAAATGTCACGGACATAGCAAAGTTCCTTTGCCGTGTGGCATGACAAGGTTGTCAATAGTTGGGCGTATGATCTATGTCATCAAAAAGTGCACTAATGATATTATTATATACAAGTATTGTTATAACATTTTATTTAGAGGATGTGTATGATGCACATTATTGAGAAAAAAAAATGCATTTTATGATGTAATGTGATAATAAATATGTGGTTAAAAAATAAGAAATTTTTTAAATTTGCGTATAATATTATTTTATTAAAAAATGTGTAGTTGAAAATAAGTTTTGAAAGAATGAATTTTTTTAAGAACGTAGATCAAACATGGGCTTAAAGTGCCATGTGTAATGACTAGATTTTGGGCCGCCGGCCCATGCATGAGGCCCTGAGGGACGATATCCCCTGGGGCAGCGGTCCGTATGAAGTAATATCTTACCGTCAATTCCTTGTGTTGACATGCACCTTGTAGAAACATGTTTTTTAGTACCTTGGTTGTCATATTCACTTCTAAAACAATACTAATGCTGAACTACTATATTAAATTGTCAAGTGTCTAAGCTAGTCTAATATTGAGTTCAATATTAAGATATTAGTCCCACCAACAAGCCATGAAATTTTTTTTCGAAAGCACAGAGGCGGACACAGAGTTTTTAAGTTAGGGGGACACAATCAAATTTTCAAAAAATGTTGCGAGGAATTTTACACTCGAAAATTTACCTTTGAAAAAAATCATACCACTTGTAAATTTACATCCGAATTTTACGTTCGAAAATGTACATGGGGTATGACTTTTTTAGATGTAAAATTTCGAATTTTTTTAATGTAAATTATATTGAGAAATTTTTCGCGCAAATATAATCAACGTTAATGAAATAATCGAAAATTTTGGAAGAAAAGACGAGTTAGACGCCTATTTTTTAGACGGGCACGTTTGACACACATTTAATTATTTTCGATATCTATTTAGACCATTCGATATATTTATGATATAGTTCTTGAAACAAGTTTCAAGACGGCATATGCGATTTGTGGATTCAGCTAACATATAATCATTAGAGAAATTTTAAAATTAGCATGTTATCGAAATTCTTGAACTGCTAGTTTGAAACAACTTAACAAGTTGTAACATTTGCTATGATTGACTGTTTCGCGCGCCATTAATGATGTAGAAGACTAGAATGTTAACACTTCGAAATGGTATTAAAAATGCAATATTTCGTCTTCACGTGACATCCCGTAATGACTTCTAAAATTGAAACAAAAACAAAGATTATTCAAAAAAGAAAAAGAAAAGAATTTGCCCAAAAGTTTGGACCCGCTAGGCCACCCCTTGTGTCCGCCCTGCATAACAATACAAGAATTTTGTATGTTTACCAACCTAATAATTAGTTAGGATTATTATTGGAGAATCCTAACTAAAAGTCTATATCCAATTTAGCTTTAAATGTTAGCTCGCCCGAAAATTTAGTTCAAATTTCGTCACTTTTTACCGATACATATAGAGTGCATGATATATATCGAATAACTTTATAGCTCAAAATCAAACACGTATAGATTATCTTATCAAAATAAAATATCAACAACATCAAATTAAAAATATCTAGAGAGACACCTTGCTATCACTAATTTCACTCCTATTTCAAAGTTAGCTATTCATTTCCACAAATGGATAAACATGATATGGATTCACTAATCTTGCCAAAAGATTCAATGAATGAGAAGTTTTATAAATTCTCAAAATGCAAATTTGAGGATTATTCCCTCGGAGTTTTTACTTTATGATTGTTTCAACTTTCAGTAACTTTTAACTTCTTATATCGACACGAGCGACATAATTTTCATAAATTCTCAAAACTGACATAAACGCACGATATTCCATTAATTTTGATTTTCGATACATCGTTATCACGATAATTCACCATATAAAACCAACTAAAACAATTGATTAAATATGAATCATGAAATTTGGCAACAATTATCTTTCCTACAAAGTGTGTGTTCTTTTCCCACCCATGAAATAGATATTATAGGAGAAAGTAGGACATATTATTGGCCATCAAGATTGACTATACCAAGCAAGATAGTTGACTAATGACCATACACCTTTGTTCACAACCCACACTCTCTTCGTTTACTTTCTTATCTAGTGTGGCCTTTCGTGTGCTGAAAATGACGATTTTAATTACTTTGGGATTTGGACATAAACTAATTAAAACACCCTAATTTGGTTAATTTAATTATTATAAACTCCACTGGACACGTGCATCATTTTTTTTTTCAAAGCAATCGCACTTTTCTCACAGCAAGAGATTATCATTACTAGGAGATAGGGAGAATTGAAAGCCAAACCACCCGTTTGTTTGTCTTTTATTTTTTTTAAAACTCTTTTATCTGTATACTCATTTTCAACTACATTTTTATATAATAAAATATTTTACACCTAAATTCAAACTTTTTACATATTTTTTTAATCACATATTCTTCAAAAATTCACTATTCAAAATAATTTTTTTCCAAAAAAATGGCCACCAAATAGGGGCTTAAGTTTATGGTTTATACTTTTATTTTTACTTTTTATTGCAAAGATTTCTGAGAAAATTATTTTAATTGATGTTTGAAAATTAATTTGAAAAACAAAACTTTCGAATGAACTTTTAAAAGAAGTCACTCTGAATTATTTTCCTCTAAAAAAAACTCTTCTAACTAGAATAGATACTTTTATAAAATGTACCAAACGGATTCAAATACAGTTTTTGAATTGCAAAAGCCATGCCAAACACACCCTTAGGCAATTAGACCTAAAAATTCTTGCCTACTTTGAGTGGATTTTACCACACACACAAAGAATAAGAAAAGGAAATAATATTTTTTGGATAAATACAGAATCTTTTGGATTAACGACAACTTATGTTATGAAAGATGAAATTGGTTATATAAAATTTCCCGTCAGAAGTTATTTTTGTTTGTATTTTCACCGATTTTAAGAGTAGCACCCAAAATTGGGTCGATGAATATTGTCATGCTCGGAGTTTTTTTGGCATCGACTATGAATTTTTGGCTGTTGTTTTTTTATTTTTTTTTGGCAGTGATTGTTTCAAATTTTGGATATTTTCACTCCTTAAAAAAAGTCAAGAAACTCAAATTATTCTTATAATATTATATTTTCTTAACATTATATAATTATTTTTGGATATTTTCTTTTACAAACAAATTCCTTTGTTTTCTATCTCTTGATTACACCCAATTTGTTTTAAAATATATGCTGACGGTAAGAATCTTTATATATTTTAATTTTTTAAACAAAAGATCCATTCATTTTGACTTAAACAAACTTCATTAATTTGAATGTAATATGTCAAGTTGAGTTTGGATGCAAACTATAAATATTTTTTTTAAATAAATCCTTTTGCAAAGTTTGACTATGCCAAGTGCAATATTGCATGTATATTATGTACATTTCCACATAATGTATGTCAAACCCGGCGTCTTATGCGGAAATAGGTTACGATTTGGTGGTTCTTAGGGTTCTTATCCACAAACATCGTCAAAACAAAATTGTCTAAAAATACTCTTATTTATGCACACAGAGTGGAACAAATGATGCTGTATTCTTTGAATTAATGAAAGAGGAAAATTACAAATGAATTTGTTCTTCCTGCGGTTGAATCAATATTTTTTCATAATTATATTCTATACTGAAAAGTCCCACATTTTGTGTTATTTTCTTCTCTTTTATATAAGTATTCTTGGGCCCTTTTTCTCTCTGTGTATACTGGTTTGAAATAAATAAGTAGGAATATTTTGTTTCCACTAGCTAGGTCTTGATTGTCATGTGTGTATACAAATTAAAATATCATCAAGTTGGCTAAGGGATCTCTGTGGGTTCCACCAGAAATGATCATGCTGTCAAGCGTTTACTTTCTTGATTTGAAGTATACAGCCAATGTATTATATATATTGTGTAAGTTTTGAATTGAAAAGAATCAAGAAACCAGTATCAGTATAGCATAGGAGGATAGTGTTGTTTTTGCAAATAACAATGGAAAGTGTAGTTGGAGGAGAAAGCCAAAGAAGGCTTAACAAGTACGCCTGTGCTTGTGCTATTGTTGGTTCGATGATATCTATCATATTCGGATATGGTAAGATTTTCACCCCGACCCATCCTTTCATTCCATGTTTAGTTGTCGAGATGAATTATGTGTTCTTTTTATTTGTTGAATTTTTGGTGAACGTGTACACACGTTTGATTCTTGAAAATGGATCCTAAGAGGAAATTAAAAAATAAATATTCTGAAGTATGTGATCATAAGGTATGTTACTTCAATATGCATGATTCTACATATTTGAAGTTCAACATCTGAACTTCTGTTGCTACTTTATAATTCACATTTATATAATTGAACTATTCAAACTTGTGATTCTTACTGTGTAAGATCTTGATATGACACAATCAAAACATGTGTAAGGTTACACAAAAGTTGTCTATGATTTGAAGATTGGATTCTTATAACTTAAATTTGAAGATACGTAGTTCATCGCATAAAGTACCGTGACAATTATGCACAATTGAAAAAATAAAGACGTCATGAAGATTAAATTTAAATAAGATATTGTTATGTTACAACGTTTGTTGCTTGCAGATACGGGTGTTATGAGTGGAGCAATGATCTTCATAAAAGAAGAATTTGAAGTAAAGGAATCTCAACTGGAAGTGCTCGCCGGAATCCTTAACCTGTGCGCTCTGGTGGGTTCTCTCTGCGCCGGAAGAACCTCTGATTACATTGGCCGAAGATACACAATCGCATTGGCATCTATAATCTTCATGCTTGGCTCAGTTTTAATGGGCTATTCCCCAAATTACAACGTTCTTTTGGCCGGAAGGTGCACTGCCGGCATCGGGGTAGGCTTTGCACTCATGATAGCACCCGTTTATGCTGCCGAAATATCGTCTCCAAAAACCCGAGGATTCCTATCATCTTTACCAGAAATTGGCATCAGCGTTGGAATTTTACTTGGCTATATATCCAACAATTTGTTCGCAAAGCTGACACTGAAACTCGGGTGGCGGGTGATGCTCGGAATTGCGGCAATCCCTTCACTTTTATTGGCCATCGGAATTCTGAAGATGCCGGAATCCCCACGGTGGCTTATAATGAAGGGCCGAATTGGAGAGGCCAAGAAAATCATGTACAAAGTGTGTGACGACGAAGAAGAAGCTCAACAGCGATTGAAAGACATTAAAAGGGCCGCCGGAATCGACGAGAATTGTACTGATGACATTGTACAAATCTCAAAATCCGGCCGAAAGGTTCAAACCGGCGGCGTCTGGAAAGAATTGCTGCTGAAACCAACTCCGACAGTGCGCAGAATGTTACTCGCCGGCGTCGGAATTCATTTCTTCGAACACGCTACAGGAACCGAAGCTGTTATACTATATGGTCCAAGAATCTTCAAAAAGGCTGGTGTTACAGCCCGGAAAAAGCTTCTCCTAGCCACAGTTGGAGTGGGTCTCACTAAATTAGTATTTATAACATTATCCACCTTCATAATTGACAGAGTTGGCCGGAGGAAACTCCTATTAACCAGCGTCGCCGGAATGATTGTGTCATTAACTGGACTCGCAACTTGCCTGACTGTAGTTGAACACTCAGATGAAAAGCTCATCTGGGCACTAGTGATGAGTCTTATCTTTGTGTATACATTCATAATGTTCTTCAACGTGGGACTTTGCCCGGTATGTTGGGTGTATAGCGCAGAGATATTTCCGATGAAGCTCCGGGCGGCTGGGGCGAGTGTCAGCGTGGCAGTGAACAGGGCGATGAACGCCACGGTTTCTATGACATTTTTATCGTTGTCGAGTGCCATAACCATAGGCGGTGCGTTCTATTTGTACGCCGGAATGGCGGTGTTGGCTTTGTTTTTCGTTTATTTCTGGTTGCCGGAGACCATGGGGCGGAGCCTGGAGGACATGGATGAGATATTCAGCAAACCTTCCAAGAATTCCAGGACGGAATTGGAGCTTGCGAACAGTTAATTGAATTAATGCATCAATATTTGATTGTTGAAATCCGGACCAGAATTGAAGAACCAGCTCCAAATTCTTAGAAGAAGGGTATTAGAAAGAGTAACGTTGGGATGAAAACATGATTTACATGACTTTAAATGATAGGTTAAATGAAAGGTAAAATTAAATGACTTATTTAATTTTACATATCATTTAATGCCACATTGACGCCACGTAAACTGTATTTTCATCCCCAGTAGGGATGAATATTATTAGAAATATATTCATAAGGAAAAATATATTTGTAAGAGTAGTTTGAGAATCAATCAAGTCGTACTAGAAATGGTTCCATGGATTTATGATCAAGTTGATGTTTATCTAAGATCATGTTTGATTCTGTTCAAAAGTTACATAGTCCGTTCAATTTATGTTGTTAAGACGAAGAAATTGTGTGTAACGGAAATGAACGAGCAATAGCAGTGAACTCAAAGGATTATTATTGTAAAGAGTTCAAGGTGCGAGCAAAAATATTTGTAAACAATGAAGCGATTACTTATCATGTATCGTAAACTCAATTCGAAACTTGCATGTACATGATTCAAACGATATAAACTCAAAACTTCCAATCATGTAATTTGGGAATACATTCTTACAATTTAAGATAATTACACTTATTTAATTAACCACTTCACAAATATTCCGTGGATCGAGTAGGCAGTCAAGTAGGAAATTGTAGGCACGATCAGGACTTTTAGCCACACTGAATTCATACAAAGAACTGGGTCAAAAGAAAATGAATTAGACAGATTTTCCATTGAATTTGTCTTGTTGTACATTATGGATGCCATAATGTACTAGTAGCAAGACCCTTTTCCATTATCTATTTGGGAATTCAAGTAGCTCATTTTAATTTGGATGGCCCACACTAGTAGATGTTGACAGTCAATTTTAAAAATCAATACATTTTTTTTTTATATTAGATAACAATATACAAACATTTTAGATTTTTTGTATTTTCAGATTTTGATGGTGAGTATTAGAGTTTGTTTGGGAGGGATTAAAATCAGATTAAAATTGAAAATATAGTCATTGGAGTTGACTTCTATTAGACGAGTGAGACACAATAACTATTATATTTTTAATTTTAATTGAATTTTAATCCTTCCCAAACAAGCTCTTAGTATATTATGGATAACAATATGCGGACAATAAAGATTGTGACATATTGAAGAGATAAGAACGTTAATAAATGGTAATATAAAAATTTATATTAGAAGCTGATTAATGGCGGGGACACAAAATAGTGGATTAAGTGGATGTCAATTTACCGTTGGACATGTCTGTAAAGTCAAGAACATACAACTTGACAATTCTGGGAGTCTAAAACCTCACATTTCTTTGTCTATTTCTATTTTCGCGATAGTCCAACCCTACTTACAGTCCAAGTGGTCAACCGCCACAGGTTTTAACCCTTTCACAATCGGAATATGTTACTTGTACATAATTTTATGTAATGTCCACATCCTCACATAGTGGGGAACCTAATTCGAATAAAATATAATATATATGAAGTGAGTCCCCCTCCGTGTGAGGGTCATAGAATGATGTACGTATAGACAAACCCTTCACAATCTCCCTAAGCGAGCCACAAGCCACTGTTCCTGGCCTAGCACACTGCAAGGGCCCTACCGGGAAACTCTTGACACCTCTACATCAATCAAGCATGAACAATGAACAAATTTGAGGAAAAAAAAATTATTAGAGCCAGCACGAATTCACATAGCAAGCATTGTGTATAAAGTGGCATAAAGAATTCTGTATTCAAACCCCAAATGTTGAAATCTACTTCTTCGATTTTCCAGGACTCTTCAAGCTCCCTCTTGTGGTTTGCATATTGCTCCCCATATCTAAAAACTGACACAAAAGTCTTTCCACTATGCGCGATGTTTACTCCATCAACGTACTTCTTCAATGACAGATTCCGTGCATGTTTCCCAGAATACATCACCGTCGTCCTTGCTGGTTTTTACTGTAAGAAGACGAGAATCTTCAAACTTTACCATAAGGCCTGATCTTTGGCTGAAGTATCCCCATACTGTGTGGTGGATGATTTCATATTTTGGACTGCTCTGTGCCTCGAGCAATGTTTGGTTCACATCGAGTTTAAGTATGAAGCAATCTTCATTGTTTATGATTTTTTCACCTATGCATACTGCGTCTATGAACAAGTTGGCTGCGGACCGAGGATCCAGGCCCTGAAAAATGAAAATAACCGTTTGGATAAACTAATTTCTAGAATGATAATGTGGACGCTGATTGCTTGAGAAGACTGAGAAATGCTTATAATATGGCGTCCACTATGCTGAAAATTGAACGTGTGGGCTTGAATGTGGTTACAAGACCACAAGTCATTTTAAACAGTGTCGAAAAAAACATATACAGTCTATACCCTACTATTACTGTTAGTTGTTTTAGTAGGCAATCTTCGAAAAAAACCTTTCTCAAAACCCGTACATGGTGGAGTACCAGAAGCACGTACTACACACTGTGGACAGGGTACGGGTCCGATGGACATATGACAGTAGCACACATTGTTCAAAATGCCTAGAGAAAAGCAATCAATTAATACCCACTTAAAATAAATCAGGAGTTAAGAATTAACACATTTAAACGAAGTGAAACCAAAATTCCTTTTTTTTTTTTTTTAAAACTAATGCCATCACACCAACATTGTCTGTCACTCGAAGCAACCAGTAAGACACCTTAACAAAATCGTTTAAATTTATTAGTGTGATGTAATTGAAATATTTTTAAAAGTTCTGTGTCCATTTATTTATATTAGTAAAATTGATTGAATTCATTTTTTATCACCGGCGTCAATCACAAACCTGGGCGGCTGATGGCGCAACCAAGGGCTACCCTTTGACTATTCTCGCTCTCGCCTTTAACTGCACAATCTGAGGTTTTGTGTGTCAGACAGAGAGGATGGAGGGAGATATGTGTACTCTGGAGAAACGTGACGGCCTCTTTATCATCACAATAACCGGAAATGATGAGCACCGGCTTAACCCGATTCTGATCGACTCCATTCGGGCAGCACTCCGCCGTGCTAAGATTGAATCCGAGTCTATGGGTCCCACGGCCCTTATCACTACTGCACATGGCAAGTTTTTCTCCAATGGCTACGACCTCTCGTGGGCCGCTTCAGATCCAAACCCAGTCCAAGCGCAAGCTCAAGTCCGACCCAAGTTGATGTCTAAGAAGTTCAGGTGTTTAGTCTCCGACCTCATATCCCTCCCTATGCCCACCATCGCCGCCGTCACCGGCCACGCCTCTGCCGCCGGCTTCGTTCTAGCCCTAAGCCACGATTACATCGTGATGCGCAATGATCGGGGCTTCCTCTACATGAGCGAGCTCGATATCCGGATGAAAATACCTTCTTGGTTTGTGCAAACAGTGAGAAGCAAAATCGCGTCCCCCAAGGTGTGGAGGGAGGTAGTTCTGAAAGCCGCCAAAATCACGGCGTCTATGGGGGTGGAGTGGGGAATTGTTGACTCCGCACACGATAGCGCGGAGGAGACAGTGGAGGCGGCAGCGAGGCTGGGGATGGAGCTGGTGAAGAGGAATTGGGATGGAAAAGCGTATGCAGAGAACAGGAAAACTGTTTTTGCTGATGTGATGGCGGCGTTAAGTTCCGATGAGACGGTCGGAAGTTATGGAGATACTGATTTTAATGACGGTATTGGGGTTGGGGCCATTTCAAGACTGTGATCATATTTTAGCTTACAAGCATGAAAATCACTGCATTTTTTTTGTTTTTTTACTTTTGTCAACTTTTGTTGTAGCGTACTTGCATGCATGTTCTATTGGAAAATCAAAATCGTTCTTGAAATCGAAAATCAAACGTAGCAAAATCAGGTTAAAAATTTCACATTTTGATTACTAATCACGAACATGAACTCACATAGTATTATGCGAATTTAAATAAAGCGATAAATTCAATTACTTCTCGTTTCCATTTCCATGATTTCTTTTCGATTTTCTAAGTGATTGAACCATGGACATTAATTGTTAACGTGATATTCAGTTCCAACCACTCTATGTATTTTATTCGGGTAAAAAGTACTTATTATAAGTCACCACGGTCAAAATGCGTGATGAACCTTTTACTTTAAATGGTTGTAATGTTGTATCTGAAGATGATAAATGCATTTTCAAAGTTAAAAGATCTTGCGACGATCATTACATTCTCGAGAGAACTTTTGTTATGTCATGCCTTTTGACTAAATTCGACGACATCAACTACAAATATTTGATCAAACAAACTCGCAAAATTGCTGACATGATTTCTTCAGTGAAAAAATATGATGTTTTTTTTGAAAGTTTGAATCTGATGAATGTAAAATATGATGGTGAGATTAGAGAGAGATGATTGTTACTTTCTCGACATAGCATTTGGTATGTCATGCCAATTAACTAAATTCAACCACGTCCACTTGTGGCACCAATGGCTTGGACATTTAAATTACGAAGATTTGATCGAACCATCTCGCACAAGTGTTACCATGGTTTCCCCCAACTTTGTGGAAAACCTGATGCTATTTGTGGTTTCTTACTATAACCATGAAAGTTACAGTTTCTTAGCCACTAAAAAAAATGCCCTTGAAGTCTTATTCATAGATTTTGGGAGTAAAAGAAGTCCCACATCGACTAGACATGAGAAATATGTTGGGTTTATAAGTGTAGGACAATACTTCATTTGTATGAGGCCTTTTGGGTAGTATCCAAAAGCAAATTCGTGAGGGCCCAGCTCCAAAGCTAACAATATCATACCAATATGGAGTTTGGCGGGTCTTCACAATTGGTATCAGAGCCTAAGGCCCAAAACTTAGCCGGAGGAACGCAGCGGAAAGCGTGGTGGAGGTCCCCCCTAATTAGGCTTACGTCCGGCTATAAATCATCCGCGTTTGAGGTGTCAATTGATATTAGAGCCTAAGGCCCAAAACTTAGCCGGATGAACGCAGCGGAAAGCGTGGTGGAGGTCCCCTTAATTAGCCTTACTTCTGGCTATAAATCATCCGCATTTGAGGTGCCTTGTGACGAAAGTCTTCCTATCATAAAAATATGGTGGTCAGGCGGCGGGTCCCATTTGGTCGGGGGCAACGACAATAATGGCGGTACAAGATTGGTTGATGGATTATCGTTTGAGGGAAGGCCACAATGATGTGGTTCTTCGTTTGAGGGGAGGATTGTTGAGGGTAAAAGAAGTCCCACATGGCTAGACATGAGAAATATGATGGATTTATAAGTGTAGGACAATACTTCATTGGTATGAGGCCTTTTGGGTCTCCATTCATATGAAGCCTTTTGGGTAGTATCCAAAAGCAAATTTGTTAGGGCCCACGCCCAAAGCGAACAATATCATGCCAAGGGAAAAATTCATAAATAAGGTGTTTAGTTTACACCAATTCAAAAATCATGTTTATAGTTTGAAAATTCAAAAATCAGTTTTTTTAAATTCTAATATAATATAATAAACCCACCCTACATGCATCACCCCTACCGCTCCGGGTACTATTCCGGTAACCATTCCGACCACCACTTTTCTCGGCGACCATTTCGGCGAGTATTCCGACGACCATTCCGACGAACTTTTCGCGACTTTTTCGATGACTTTTTTGACTCCGTCAATTATTTATATTATTAATTAAATATTTATTTATTTTATTAATTAAATATAATGATGTTACAATTATACAATTAATGTTCACATATACA